TGTGTTGTTGGGCTGAAGGGCTCCAGGCACCTCCCTTGTCTGGTGACGAACCTGAGAGAAAACCCGCTCCACCCTGGACGTGCTCAGGAAGAGAGGATAGAATGACTTTGCAACAGAATGAGCCTGCCTGGCAAAGAAGAGGAAGGGGTTTCCAGCTGAAGGGAACCGAAGCTTGAACCTCCCTGTCGGGCAGTCCAAGGTCAGTATTTGGTGTGGGGTGGCAGGTTGGTGGGGGTAGGGACAGAAGAAAATTCAGGAAGCCTTGTGTGGGGCATGCTTTAATCATTGCATAAGGACAGTGAGAATTCTGGCCTCTGGGAGAATTAAACCGGGAAATCTACATCAGAACGTCAGATTATCCAGAAATATGTGCGCAACCAGCTGTATTTTGACATAGAAACTTGCTGGGTTTTCCTGTCCTTGCTCTCTAAAGCTGCCGCAGGAGTAATGGGGTCATACTAAGGCAGAGAGAACGGCAGGGTCCCCTGCCCCAGGCTGCAATTGAACATCAATAACTGACTCTCTGGGGTGACCAGTTCCCCTGTTGGTTTTGTTTTGCTGATCTGGTTTTCATGCTCTGCAGAAGCTTTTCATGGAAAACAGTGTTTTAAATGTTTTTAAAAGATTTGGAAGCATTTTAGTGAACAAATACAAAGTTTTTGGTAAACAATTTAGAAAAGCTAAAGCTTACACTTTGACAGACACATAGCTCTCTCATTCCTCAGCTCCTCTCCCCAGAACAATCACTTTCAGGGCATCTCCTGGGTCATCAAGCCCATTGTGGGAGGAAAAAGGAGAGACTAGGCCTCCCTGTGAGCAGGCCCTGGGTTGGGCAGCCCTGGGGCCAGCTTCTCTGAGCCAGTGCTGTTCTGTCAAGACTGGCTTTAGGGCAGAGAAAAGTGCAACAGACGTGACAATTGTTGACAGAGAAGAGCCAGCCACCCCAAAGCCCCAAACTATACTTCTTATCTATTCCTAACCAGGAGCACCTGAGATTAATTCCCATCAATCAGGTAGCGAAGGTACAGAATGGGATAGAGAACCAATTTACAAGGTCAACATTTAACACTTAGCCCTAAGTGTTGGGAATAGAATTTACTCAGTATTCCCCTGGCTGAGCAGTAACATGGAAAGGAGGAGTTTCTTGTAGTCAAAACGGAGACAATAGTGTTAGTTCAATTAAGGCAGAGAGGGGCCTTCGGAACCAAGAGAGCAGGATCCTCAAGCCGGGGCCCAGCCCTGGTCGCAAAGCCAGCTGGGCCTTTTGGTGAATGAAGGTCTTGACTCCCAGTTAAGAACACCTCATTAGGATGACTGTTATAGAGCAGCAAATCTGTTCCAGAACAGGGAGAGAGAGGCACCCCTGAAGCCCCAAAACCTGCCTGCTCTAAGTGGGTTCTGCCATCCGCCGCAACAAGGCAAAACATATAAAGCTTTAATGAAAAGTGACTTTAATACAGTGAATATACAATATGGAACACAAAGAATATAACTTCTAAATCAAACACCTGAAGTTACCCATCCCC